CCCGCCCGCACAAACCGCAAATCGCATCGCGGGCGGTTGCGGGTCCATTTTTCCCCAACCGCATAAGTGCGGGTCGGGTCGGTTTTGACCCGCACCCGGCCAAAACTGACCCGCGAGCAGCCCTAGTTTGTGGTTCTGTATAGAATTTTTAAACTAAGAATTACACTCATTCTTTACACACAATTCATTTCCTTAGGTTTCTTAACAGTGTATATATATACAAAATACATACACCTACAACTTCCCCATCAATGAATTAAATAATAACAGAGTAAGGACAAAGAATAAAAACAAAAAGAAAGAAGAAAGATTAATACCTACCACACACCCAAATTGTATTAGGCAACCTAGGGTTCCTATATAAATATCTTACCAAATGGCTCTAAGTTATTATCTTTTGTTTTATTTTATTTTCTCTCTCAATTAATTTAAATAACAAACAACTATTACTAGATCAAAATATACTGACTATTTTGTCCCCTATTTTTTTTTTTAAATAATAATTCTTGCCTCTAAATTAAAGACTTTCACCATAAATTTATTTTAGGTTTAACATTAATTAAAAGATCCTCCAATAATATTTAGTTTGCACTTAAAGATTCACAAGCAAAATATTTGAGATTGTAAAATAATTATTACTTAATTATTTATTTGATTTGTAAGGCCTGGGACTTGGGGGTATACTTCCTTTATGGTGTCAGGTTCGAAACATTTTAGGTGCAAACAATTTCTTAAAGTCAGTCCATACTTTTGCCTCAACTTTAAGTGGGTCCTCTTCTAATAGATGGTGGATTAATCTCCCAGATTAGTCGGTTGGGTCACTTATTGAGTTTTCACGGGAAAAATCCACTTTACCTATTATAGTTTAGGCCATTTGTACTTTACCCCCTATCATTTATAAATAGCCACTTACCCCTTATCGTTTTGGACTAAAGTGCAACATCAATACTGATGACAAAAAATGTAAAATGCCCTTAGTACCCTTATTCTTCTTTTCTTTCTTTTCCTTCTATTTTTTTATTCTATCTCTTCATGAAAAATGATTTGTAGCTCGAACTTTAGCCCCTCAAATGGCCCGAATGTGCTGGTACATTGTCTCTCTATTTTGGGCTCACGCACATAGATCTCTTGTCTCTCTTCTCTATCTCTCTCTTAGACCCAAAGTCTCTGAAATCTTCCTCTTCTCTTTCTCCTCTCAAATGCCAAACCTTCTTTCTCTCATCTCTTCCTTATTTCAAACTCAGACACTGCCTCAAACCTCTCTCTCTCTCTCACTCAAATAATTTTGTCTTTATCTAATCAACGCTGGAGCCATCAGAGCCCACAAATTGGTAGTTTCCTCTCTGACGCCGGAGCTATAATGCCCCAAAATTTAACATCAATTTATTAATTACCAATCCATTATTATCATTCAATTCCATAACCTTAATAAATTTGCCAATAAATAAGGATAACAAATTATAAATCAAAAGTTTATCTATTTCTCGCTAATCAGTCATCTCATACATTACAACATATTATAGTACAACAAACTATATAAAAAAAATGTCAAATCACCCTAGACACTTACACATTTCAAGGTTAAGGCCCTTCATCACAAAGAAAATAAAATTCTATCTCGTAGGTAAGCTCGTAGCTGAAACATATAACATCAAAAGAGCTTCAATGCTTCATCTAGAACTCCATATACTTCTTAACGAACGAGTCACACCTTGATCACCTAAAATTTGGGAATATCTAGCCCAAAAATGGGAGTGAGCAATGACACCTAGTAGAAAATAAACTTGACACATTATAAATATATATATATATATATATAAATGAAAATGCTCATGTTAGTTATATTCATACAACACATCAAAATATACAAGCCTTGTGACTTTGATGACATTCAATGCTCAATATAAACTTTAAACCCACGATTGACTCAACACGTGGACCTTAATTCACCTTGAGAACATCTCTTTTTCCTTTCTTTTATAAAATCCCAAAACACATCGCATAATACCCTCACATTTATTGGTCACCTAGCACGGAAGGGCAATTGGGCACCTTCTACATTTCTGAAAATACCTCCACATTTACCGACCATCAAGCACTGAGGGGCAATTGGACACCCATTACATGTTTAAAAAAAAATACCTCCACATTTACAGGCCACCGAGCACGGAGAGACAATTGGACACTACCACATTTATTCAACTGCATCCCCCAAATTTACCGCTGTTAAGCATGCAAGGGCAATTGGGCACCTTAACCATATACCAATGACATTCCCACATTCTTCAGCCTCCGAGCATGGAAGGGCATTTGGGTAGCTCAACACACACAACACATTCTAAATATACGCACATCTAATTACACAACTCAACACTTAATCCAATACCCTGTGGATGCAATGCAATGTAAGAGTTCCTAATATTGTGACTTAACTGAAGTCCAATTCAATCACACACAAAATCAATCCAACGAATACAATATGAAATACATATATATATTTTTGTGTCCCTAAGTCAACTGAGCGATTAATTTTAATTATAAACCAATTCATACATTGAATCTTTCAACATTTTCTGGATTTCCACCCAAAACAACTTCCTTAAATCCTTCATTAACATCATCATAACACCAATCTCATTCCACATACGGATACTCAAGAGGATTAATCAAAATTTCAACATATAGTACAATTTTAATACAAAGCCTCATTTAAAAACAAAATCCCAAATCTAGGGTTTCAAGAAAATTGGGGGTTTTCCTCATTTCATCATCAAATCCAACAATCATCAAATATTTCTCATTAATATCTCAAAACAATCTAAATATTTCAATATTTTAAGTGAAACCCCCATTTTTTAATATAAACATCTTTTAATAAAAAATTTCAAACTCAAATCAACCCATACTTCCCATAATACAACATAATCAATGAAACCATAAATGATTAGAGTTAAGAGAATAACCTACCTCAAGAAAGTGAGCAAACAGTGAAGACCCAAGCAAGAACTCCAACAAATTCGCAATCCAATCAATCAAGAGAAAGATCTTCACTCCTCCTTCACTAATCTTGCATGATCTAAAGTGGATCCTTGGTGTAATGAGATGAAATCAAAGGTTTTGTGGCTAGGGTTTTCGTACATGAAGAGGTGGAGGAGAGAAAAGAGAGAAAAGTGAGAGAAAATACACAAAAAGTGGGATTTATACTTGCTGATCCCAAACAGACCACTTGAACGACCACTCTTGCGCTCGAGCGAACACAACCAACTCTCAGAATCTCAAACCTGCAAACAAAAGTATTAGATGCCTCGAAAGACCGCTCAAGCAAACACTTCTTCGTTTGAGTGACAAAGTGAAATTTCCAGACCGTTACTGGAGCCCTCATCTCCTATGTCTCTGTTGGGTTCTTTTATGGCAATGACAGAGAGTGATGCGAGGATGTAGAGGTTGTTGAAATTTTTGGGCTTGGTGAAGATTTGCAAGCATGTTTGGATTTGTATGATACTTTCCTCTTCAAATTTGCCTCTTATTTTCTACCTCTCTCTCTATATATATATAGCTATTTATGTATATGAATGATGAGTGCAAGAGAGGAGAAAAAGACAAATGGATTTTGAGTTTGGATTTGAATTCGAAGGATAAATGAATCTAAATGTATTAATGGGTATGGATATGGATGTTCTATCACAAAATAAAAAAAAAAGGCATTTGAACTAAGAAATCAGTTGTGTGTTAAAAATTTGTAGCAAAACAAAGTATGTTTCTCTTTGATTTCATTATCAATTTCTAACTACCTCAATCTTCTCGAGATCAATTTGTCTTTCAACAATCTTAGTGGTTCATTTCCTTCACAAGTTTGTGAAATTCCAAGCTCCTTTACAACTGAGATTGAGAAAGAGAGGAAAGAAAGAGAGAGAGAGAGAGAGAGAGAGAGAGAACTTACAAGCGCAAGCGTAATCACATTGTCCATGTACAAGGGTGCAACTTTGTTGGCGGTGGAGATTCTAAAGAAAGGTAGGTAGTGTTTTACCCAAGTTGGTGGTCAGTAGCAGTCGTCGGTGAACACCCCGGTCAGTGGTAGTCATCGTCATCAGTGAACACCATTGTTGATCACTCGACGCTAGGTCCCAAAATCATGTTCCTCTCTCTCTCTCTATCTCTATCTCTCTCTTCTCTTTTCTTATTTTATAAATACGTGGGTTTCATACATGGTTATAGAGGGTTTCTCACTCTCCTCTCTCTTCTCTTTCTTTGCTTTATAATCTTGTAATCACATTCGAGCCATTCGGGACAGCGAAAATTCAAGTTACCCAGCAGAACTGCTCTTCTATTATATAATTTCTTCTCCTCCCCTCCCCTTCACCTACCTCTCTCTCTCTCTCTATCTCCTCTCCCCTTTGCTCTGCAACTTCTACTTTTCCATAATACACAAACAATTAAAACCAAACCAATCTATTCTCAATTTGCAAACAATACCTTCCACCAGTAGTCCACCAATTAATCCTAACAAAACAACCCAAACAAAACCCAAAATATATCTAATTCATCTCAATCCCTAAAACCCCAATTCATAGAAATTCGAATACATATATAAACTGAAGATGAAAAGAACAAACAAACAAACAGACCTTGATCAAGATTGTACCACCGCAAAAAAGCAATAAAAACAAACCGCAAAATGTATTTAATTCATCCCAATCCCTAAAACCCCAATTCATAGAAATTCAAATACATACAAAAACTAAAGATGAAAAGAACAAATAAACAAACAGACCTTGATCAAGATTGTATCACCGCAGAAAAGTAATAAAAACAAACCCCAAAATGTATCTAATTCATCCCAATCCCTAAAAACCCAATTCATAAAAATTCAAATAAATACATAAACTGAAGATGAAAAAACAAGCAACCTTGATCAAGATCGTTTTGCCACAAAAAAGCTACAACTTTTCCATGATAGCATCATGATGACAAATTTGTCATCATTGACGACCGCATAGACGATGAGTCGATTGGGGGACTTCATGCCTTCCAAGATTGCGATAAAAAAGTCCTTCGCTCCTAAAAATCCATCCCCTCTCGATGGTGTCACCGGAATCTATGGTGTTGTCAGAATCTATGGTGTCGCTAGAATCAATGGTGAGCTGCTGCATATGATCACTCTGTTGAAGGAGCATCGGGAATAGCTTCGTGGTTGGTCCAGGGGCGCCATGTGCCATGCCCTTACTAATCACAATTCACCATGCCCTCTCATTGTCACGCCCCAAAATTTGGACAATTAAATATTAAATTAGGACTAACCCCAATCAATATTCCATCATCCAAATCCTAAGGTGTGGAAACAAAAAAAAAAAAAAAAGCCAACCAAACCATCCGCCACAATTTCATAACTATCAAATACCTCCAACATTAAAGTAGTAACATCTAGTCCAAACAAACTTAAATAAAGTACGGTTACAAATCATGCCAAATTATTCCAATACTAAAGCCATATAAAAAAAATAATAAACACATGAACTACTAACAACCCTGATCTCAAGAAAACAAAAGAAATCCAAGAGATATGCCCAAAAACTATAGTTACTTCTCGTCACCACCGTAGCCTCAACTAATCCTGCAAAGGAGGTCAGCTGCGTTCAAACAGAACGCACCCGAGTTGCCAAGAGACAAAACGGGTCAGTATAGAGGTATACTGGTATGAGTACAATATTTAATACCCACGTGTCCACCAGACACAGACAAAAATACATTTAATTCTTATCAGGGACAAGACAAGTAGTTCCAACCGTACCGAGACGAATGGTAGTTTCCCGAGATACGATGGCATTTAGTTCTTGTCCGTACACAACGAAATATAAATTGATTATAGAATAGACAAAATGGAAATAAAAAATATGGTGGGTCAGCCCCGCATAAAAGTTAGTAAGACCCACCATCCTGCAAAACAAATAAAGTCAGTATAATTTAATCATAAGTAACTTATTAAAAAAATATAAAATTACACCGTTTCATACTTAAATAATTCGAATTGATCAAAACTCAAAGAACAAAAGTTGTACAGAATCAAATTTCCTATAAAGACAGCGAACGAATTTAACAGAAACTGAATAGGTTAAGAGAAAAACTTGATATAAAAAATCTAGACAGAACTCAATCGAAAAATCTGAAGCTGAAAATGAACCAAACTGCCCTAAGATGAATTTTGTCGAAAAATTTCAAAACACGAAAAGTGTGCAGAATAATGTTTTACTTCAGTTTTCGCGAAACCAATAAAAAGAGCTCGTTTCGTGGGTTAAAACCTCCTAAAATCTGCCTTGCTAAAATGAATCAAACCAACAATAATCAAGATAATCCGATTATAAGTTCTAATCGATCTTTTTATTAAAAAGCTAAAACACGAAAGTTGTCCAAAATCACATATACATGCCTCTGCTCAAATTTCATAATTTATCGAGATCATTTACTATTTTTTTATCATGTACAAATCAATACCAAATCAACTATACTAATAAATTCATAATTAAATTCTTTGTACCTTAACTCCACCACTTCGGCTCCCCTTCCGGCCTACACATATATCCCATGTGCCTCCCGTATACCTAACACCGCTCCGAAGCCAAACTTGCACAGGGATATCGTCCCGAGTTTGACTCACACTCTCCGGATGGTTAGCATATACATACGCGCGCAAATCAAAGCACTCGTCTACTCATGAGAACGAGGCAACAACATATATATACACAACATCTCACACATGAGAATAAACATAACAATGCCGAGCCTAAGGCATTCAAATAAATCTCATAATCCTCACTTTTTTTATACACTCTTTCTCACCATCATTCAAATAAAACAACAATCCATGGAGTCATGGTGGAGTATAAGGAATTTATCTATATGTTCTTAATAATTTTTAATTTGTAATTACAATCATAAAATAAATTCATATAAAAATCCTAAACATGGTATACACAACTAATCAACTAATTAAAATCAATTCATCATCTACATGCAAATACAAAAATCAATCCAACATCAAATAAAAATAAATAAGTAAATAAAAACAATGAATCAATCCATCCTCTTAACCAATATCTATGGATTCTAAATTTATTTTAATTTTATATAATCATGTGTGTGATTACAATTATAAAACAATCCGTATAAAAATCATAAATCTTGCATATACAACTAATCAAAATAATTAAAAATTAGTCAATCATTTAAAAATTCTAAACCTTACATATCCAACTAATTAAAATAATTACAATCAATTAATTATTAAAAATCCTAAACCTTACATATACGTCTAATCAACATTATTAAAATTAATCAATCATCTAAAAACCCTAAACTTTACGTACACAACTAATCAAAGTAATTAAAATCAATCACTTATCTAAGAATCCTAAACTTTACATACACTACTAGTCAAAATAATTAAAATCAATCTATCATCTATAAACCCTAAATCTTATATCCACAACTAATCAAAATAGTTAAAATTAATCTATCATCTTTATGTAAAACAAAATCAAACTAACATCAAACAAATAAAAATAAATGAATAAATAAAACAGCGAATTAAACATAAATCAAGGAAAATGGGTTTTGTACTCACTCTATTTTTTTGAAGATCCAAGAAATATTTGAAGAATTAATGGAGCCCCCAAAACAAAACCCTAATTTTTTTTTTCTTTTTTCTTTTTCTTTTTTTCTTCTCTTTCCACGCCAGTCCCCTCTCTCTCGCTGCATCTCTATTTTGTGATTAATCTCTCTCTCTCTCTACTTCTCTTTTTCCTTAAGTTTATAATATAACCTAAACACTTGTTATATAACCCAAACACTTGTGATAAATCCTAATAGTTATTATATTATATAATACAAATACAATATAAATTCAACCTAAATAAATATGATATATGTATATATATATATATATATATTTTATGTTATTAAATAACTACCACATGTATAAATATATTTTATAAAAACAATACATATAACACCCTCTTTTTTTTATGAATATATAAATATAAATATTCTTATTAATTACATACAATTAAATACAACATTAAATTAATTAAATAACACATTAAATTCTCATGTAACGATACAATTAATAAAGTCAAAAATAAAATAAGATAATAATAACCATAATAATAATAATAAAAATAATGGCTTAAGAAAATTAGGGTCGCTACACTCATATTCCACAATCACTTAACACAAATTCGTGAATTTTACCTCTTCCACCAATCACAACATTGTTGAGACATCACATAGCAGTGCCCCAAGACCAACCAATAACTTCTCCAAGAAATATGTCTTTCTTTTTTTTGTCGCCCTCGTTTTGATGAGGGGACAAATTAGCTCTTGAATCACTTTAATGAGATAGGTGTCGCACTCTGGAGGATCACTTCACAAGATCACTATAGAGGATTCGACAAATGTGTCTTTTTACATCATATGTAAACTTTTAAATTAACTTTTTTCAATACCTACTCTATTTGTCATCCTGTGTACGTCAAATTCTATCAATTTAGGCGGAATAAGTACCAACAGGAAGGTAAATTGCAAAACAACTAAAAATCAAATCAGGGATAAGTGCTCATTTCCAAATGATATGGGGTAAAGTGCAAATGATTCAAACCATAAGCGGATAAAGCGGATTTTGTCCAAAAAAGACTAATGCTCAAATCTTACTATTAACTTCTGTATTCTTATTTTCATGTACAAAAATATTGAAAAATAATAAACAATTTTAGTTTAGTTTGGTTCAATTTAAAATCGGGAATCGAACATATTTGAAAAGTTAAACTTTTTTTTTTCAAAATCATAATAATAATCAATATTTGACCCTTATAATGAATTTTTTTTTTAAATTTTATCATTTTAAATTTTAAAATTTTAATTTATTTTCACTCTAAACTATCTATCTATTTTGTTAAGTTGACGAAAAGAATATATTTTAATTATTAAATTCAATGAAAAATAGTATTTTAAACATTTTATGTACATTTATATTGAGTTTAATGATTAAAAATATATATATATATATATATATATTTGTTAATTTTGCTTAACTGAAATAGGTTGAAGGTTTATATTAAAAATAAGGGTAAATTACAAATACGCCTACTGAGATTTGATTAAAATACGAATCGTCTCCTGTGATTTTGAAAATTACATTCCACTCCCTGAGGTTTCTAATTTCATAACAAATCGTCCATTTTATTAATCAATCACCAAGTTAATTAACAGTTTTTAAAGATGTTAAAAATATGTTTCAATTAATAAATTAGGTAATTTTATTATTGTATAAGAGAGCAATTACGAATTTCATTTTTTTAGTTAATTCGGTTAAATAAAAAATTCTAGTAAGGGGTATTTGTAATTTTTCAAACCACGAGGGGTAATCTATATTTTAAGCAAATCTCAATGGGTGTATTTATAATTTACCCTAAAAAAGTAAAAAATTAGAGTTTAAATTTATAAAATTAATAATTGAGAGTTTATTTTGTTATATGTATATATATGGAATTCTGAAATGGAAATATGGACAATTTTTATATATGGAAATACTTAATTCATAGCCTTTTTTATTTAAGACTGTGAATTTGCTTCATATAAATAGGTGTATATGTTAGATATATTGAATAAGAACACACACTTGAAATAGAGATTTCTTAACAATGGTGTCTTCCCTGAAATTTTTCTTTACAATTCTTCTTCTAAGTTTTGTTGGCAAAGGTAAGACTCTTACTGCCGTTTCTCTCTCTCTCTCTCTCTCACACACACACGTACACACAAAGCCTTTTTTAATCGGACTGTATAATTTTTTTTTCAAATTGAACTTGTTAAGCAATATTCCCATTCTCAATTCTATAATATGCATAGCAATGTTACATATATTAAAAATTAATATGTATAGCAATGTTACATATATTAAAAATTTTACTAAAAATATACATGTTCAAATATTATTGGATCCTTGGATTTTTCAAAAACAATTTTCTAAATTTTCAATCCATATTTTATTATTTTTTGTGAATTTTAAAATTTTTGATTCATTGTTTTTGGTTACCTAGGTACAAAAATTATGCAAAAATCTTTCAATTTTTTTTAAATTTTTTTTAATTGTTTTTTGTCTTCAATGAATTTTTGTAAAGATTTTTGTACAAATTTTATACATTTTAAGTTTATCTAAATTCTGTAGATCTAAAGAGTAAAAAAATTGATTAAAATGTTCAAAAATTTACTAAAAATAAAAAATACAAATTGAAAATTAAAAAAATTATATTTAAAAATTTCAAAACAAACAGAGTGATTTCTTTTTTTGACAAACAACCATATTTGGCCTCTTGTATTTTTAGTAAAATTTTTAGTATTATTAGAATTATTCATATATATATATATACAAATATGATTATGGATTATGTCCCCAAATATCTTTACACCCTTGTTTCAATTTACTCCTAATCATTAAATTATGTGAAAATATCGAAACATGTAAATCTAAAGCATAATTTAATAGTTAATTAAGAAAGATTTATATGTTAAATATGTGTGGTAATATTTCTTTGCTTTTTGAATAAGTCTTGAAATCAGAGTCATTAATCCAGATTTTTGTGAGTGAGTAATTGTGTGATAGAGATTAAATTTATATAGTATGAGATTCATAAATAAATAAATCTTGAATCACAATATGTTAATTTTGGATAATACAGTTTACTATATGATTGAGATTTTTTTTTGCGCTGTGTGGGCCATGGGTAAGGCAAATACGTACCACCCAATGTATTTTCATTACACTTTCTGTATTTCAAATTTGTGCCCCTAAATTCTTACCCGGGAATGACCTTTATTTAAGACCAAAATATGTTATATATGTATTTTACCATGATGACTGTAAAATCAAATTATACAAAAATATGAAAATGTACACGTTAGCATGCTGGAATTGGGGTGGCTGCTGTGCAGCCAATTGGGCCCTTTTCGGGGCCCATTTTGATAATCTGAACTGTTCACATTTTAGAATACATCAAGTAGAACATACCTGTAAAAAATCAAATTAATCGGATATCGTTTACCCATTCATCCACTCACATTTGTATCTACAAAAATAAATAACAATTGTAATTTAAAGTATTAAAATGAATATAAATATGAGTGAATGAATGGGTAAACGATATCCGATTAACTTGATTTTTACAGGTATGCTCTACTTGATGTATTTTAAAATGTGAAAGGTTCAGATTATCAAAATGGACTCCGAAAAGGACCCAATTGGCTCTGTGCACCCCGCACAGCAGCCACCCCAATTCCTAGCATGTTAGGGCGCACCAAGGATACTTTCATTCCTGACGTTTTTATTATTTTCACCTTCAATGAAAATAACCAGAGTATATATACTTTCATCATGTCGACATATTCTTCTTTCAAGTATCGTTGGCAAAAGAAAGGTTCTTATTTTTTTCAAAAATTCTTTTATATATATAACTAGAGTATATATATATATATATATGTGTGTGTGTGTCATATATGTTTTTTTATCATATATATATATATGTGTGTGTGTGTGTCATATATGTATTTTATCATAATGACTCCAAAACTAAAATCACACAAAATATCGAGAATGTGCAAGTTATATGTGTGTGTGTGTCATATATGTATTTCATCAAAAATGAACTTTATCATATTAACATGTGTATATATATTATATGTTTTGGATTTAATTCTATGAATTAGAGTTACTCATAGTTGAAAATTGAATTACAGGTTTAAGCCAAGAATGTGGCTTGGACAATCTGAACATAGATCAACATCGGACGGATAGGATAATACAAGGTAAACCAGAATGGAACGTGACAGTGATCAACACCTGCAATTGTTTCCTACAAGGCATAGCTTTGTCATGTGCGGGATTCAAAACAGCTGAACCAGTTGATCCTGCAATTTTTAAACCAATTGACTATGGACTTTGTGCCATCCTTCCAAACAAATTCTTGAAACCTCATGGCACTATCAAGTTCGCCTATGCTTGGGACCCTCCTTTTTTTATGTTCCCTCGGAGAGTTATCAGTGTCTGTTGATCAAAATGATCAGTATCTTTCTATCTAATGACCTTTTGTCTATGCAATAATAAGAAGTTTGTTATGATTGAGTTTTGAATTAGAAGTAACAAGTATTTGAATGTCCAAAATGTTTTCAAATTGGTTTTGGCTTCTGGGCTTGTTCATATGCAATTATCAGTTGTTTCTCAAGGCCAAAGAAAGAAAGAAAATAATTGCAATTTTTTTCCATTTTCAAGTTTTTTTTTTCTCACATTTTTCTTTATATTTCCAAATTCCTACTCAAATCAATGATTCAAACATGGTCATTAGCAAATAACTATATTGCAAAGAAAAGTACGTGCAGAACTTTCAACTAAAGAAAATCTTTTTCTACACACTAGAACAAGTTCAGGGCTTTAAGGAATGTCACCCACACCACAAAGCTCTGCTCTTCCACAAGGATTTTTCCAGGTGATTTTATTAATTTTTTTTAATAATAATAAAAAAAATATTTTGTAGCTAGGGCACAAGCAAAATCTGAGAAAAGTAGTAACTAGGTTAGCATCCTAACCCCAATTTTTTGCAGAGAGGATAATTTCGCAACTCAAACCCATACCACACTACTAAGAAAATACTTTTTGAGTCAGATCTATGCTCTCTTAAAAAAAATAAAAAATAAAAAAATAACACTTACATGCATTCCCAAGAAACTGAACAGACAATTAATCATGACATTAGTATAGAATACCACAAAACTCGACATACATATATTAGGCTCACAAATATTTTGGCCTGTGCCAGTATAATAAACTCTACATATAATCTTTCTTTCTACATAAAACTGATAGTAAAAGATCTAACTAGAACCAACTTCTTCTTCATCAAGTGGCTCAATCACAATAACCCTGCCACCTGTGAAATCTAATGCAAACTGGTTAGGTTCCTGTGGATGTAAAGCAATCACAACTGCTTGCAAATCGTCGAGAGAAAGAACAAAAAAAATAATAATCATAATAAAAAGGAAGAGAGAAACCAGTTAGAAGCGTCGCCAACAATCATCTAAAGAATCACCTAGGCAGAATAATCATTCATGCTCATGAAAATCAGAAATTACTGCCAGATAAAGAAGCATTTATCATGCTAACTTTTACAAATCTTTAAGGAATTTCTAGCCATGAATTAGTAAATTGTCATGGAAATTTTATCTGATAATAAGCAAGCTTCTCAGGAAAATTGTAGAAGAAGAAAAATATTAATAGCTATACTAGTGAAGAGTTAGGCATAAATATTAAGAGAAATTTTTTTAGTACATCAAATACCTGGCATCGGATGAAAGATAAGCAGTGCGATAAATTTCATGTTGTGGTTGGAGGCCTGAAGCAAAACATATGCCAACATGTCCATGCCGAAGGGCAATGTACACCAACAGGGCATCACATGAAACAAGAAAGCATAAGATAATCTAGAAACTAGTGTCTCTCCCGGAAAACCCCCCTATATTCCCAAGCCCCATTACTAGGTCCAAACTTGAAAATAAAAATGATAGGAATTGAGCCAAGTCCACCACAAAACAGTTTAGATGTCATGCAATAGAGATGTTTAAATCATGTTCTCTGCAATGAAAATGCCATTGATCTCCACTTTTGCTCTGTTGTTATTTACATACGGCGAATCACCTTTCATTTACAGCGAGAAAGTGTTGCTGATCTTTGTGAAACTGAACCTTGGTGTTTTCACCTGGAAACTCCAAGCTACCCTTCCATACAACTCTAGAATTTCTGAGCTTCCAGGCTATAATTTGGATTTAAATTTAAAATAAAAAATAAATAAAATAATAAATATTGTATACAAAATCAAAAATCTATTTCATTCCAAATAGGGATTAGTATCAAGAATAGCAGGCCTAGACATGCATCTGTGGAAAAGATAAAATCCTAACCTCAGCATCTGTTGTGGAAGAAATAAGTGCATGTCAAAGCCCGAAGATGACCCATTTTGACAAGGCCGTAAGACTTGGACAAACAATTAAGACGGAAACAAATGGTTGCGCCTGCAGGCTGCCTACGTATCCCTTTACAAAGAATCAAACCAATGTAGTTCTGGGGCAAGAATACAAATGATATGCACAAAGAAACTTTGAAAGCTGGACTAACATGCCACGCGAAGCCGGCTATTTTGAAAACTCATGATCATGCGAGATGATGCAATAAGCAAGATAACAAGATAATAACATGTGAATGAGTAGCTTCAAGCTTAAAACTAACACAGGTTCCATGCAAAAAGATAAAACTACACTCTAACCACGCCAAAACCAGAGACGAGGAAAGAAAACACCGCTCAGGGTTGCATTTTACACATCTTGAGAAATCGAGAAACAAGAACTGCTTGGGGTCGTGCTTCATACGTCCCTGAGAAACTGAAGAACGAAAACCGCTCGAGGTTGCGGTTCACGCATCTCGAGAAACAAAGGACGAAAACCGCTCAAGGTCATGTTTCACACATCCTGAGAAACAAAAAATCGCTCAAGGTCACATTTCACGCATCTTAAGAAACAAGAAAGACTGCCCGGGCTCGCGCTTCGCACATCGTAAGAAACAAGAGAATGAAAACCGCTCAAGGTCGCGTTTCACGCGTCCCGAGAAACAAGAGACCGCTCAAGGTCGCGTTTCACGCGTCCCGAGAAACAAGAGACCGCTCAAGGTCGCGTTTCACGCATTTTGAGAAACAAAAAAAATCGCTCAGGCTCACGCTTTGCATGTCCCGAGAAACAAGAGAACCCGCTCAGGCTTGGGCTTCACGCATCTCGAGAAATAAGAAAAATTGCTCAGGCTCGCGCTCCACGTGTCTCGAGATAAAACACGCCCAAAGCCACGTGTCTTGAGATACACAAGAAACAAAAACTGTTTGGGCTCCCGCTTCATCCGTCCTGAGATAAAGCACGCCCAGGGTCGCGCGTCACATGTTCTGAGATACAAGAAAAACTGCTCGGGCTCGCACTTCATGCGTCCCAAGATGAAACACGCCCAAGGCCGTGCGTCATGCGTCCTGAGATACAAGAAAAATTGCTCGGGCTCACGCTTCATGCGTCCCGAGATAAAACACGCCCAAGGACGTGTGTCATGCGTCCTGAGATACAAGAAAAATTGCTCGGGCTTTCGCTTCATGCGTCCTGAGATAGAACACACCCAGGGCCGCGCGTCACGCATCCTAAGATACAAGAAAAATCACTCGGGCTCGCGCTTCGCGCATCTCGAGATAAAACACACCCAAGGCCGAGCATCACGCATCCTGAGATTCCACAGAGAGGTGTGCGATCGATGCACAAAAGGAACAAGTGCGATAGATGCACAAAGAAACAAGTCAATTTAGTAACAACACACATTTTATGTAAGATGGACAACCGATGTATGATGTTAATTGAAAGCATGTTCTATGCAATAAACAAAAGCATATTCTATGCATGAAATATGGGCATATTCTATGTGAAATACTTGACAGTGTGTTCTACGCAAGAAACATAACTGATGCAAGACACACGTGCAACATGCATATGTGAAATGCATATTCTATGAGCAAATCTAAGCAAAATTGACTGCATGTTCTATGCATGAATTATAAACGATGCAAAACACGCATGCAACAAATATATATGTGAAATGCATATTCTATGCAATGAAAGAAAACAGAGGCATAAAACAAATAAAAACGACATTCAATGACGCCTTCTGATTTACTTCTTGAAGGAATTGCAATACGTTCAAAAAGATACACCACGTTCACATTGACAAGTGATGAACATTGTGCACCAAAACACAGTTTTGAGCTCCCTTAGAAACAATCTGAACCCAACAATGAACCTTCCTTACATTTACTGGGAAACAAAGACAAAACAGCATCAGGACGCAAAGGAAGGCCATTGGCCACTTGCCGGCCACAAGGGGAGGCTGTCGGCCACTTGCTGGCCATCAAAAAGCCTTGCCGGCCACCAATATGGCATGCCGGCCACCGATGGCAGTTCGGGGTTTTTTGGTCTTTTCATGCACAAGCCTTTAAGTATAAGCCTCAAGGCTTCATTTCCTCATAACCCTAGGTCTGAAATCCTTCTCTTTCTCTCTTTAGACACTTTCTCTCTCTATATCCGAGCTTTTTACGCGTTTTCCAACGCCCCGCGCGAACTTTATTCGTTAAACCCTCTTAGTTCTCTTCATTTTGAACAGACCAAAATTTGTCTTCGACGCTTTTTTCCTCATTTTCACCCTTCTAGGCTTGTTCTCCTTGAGTTTCTCTCAAGTTTTGTGAACTTTTCCGGGCTTTGAATTTTTCTCCCATTTTCTCTCTCCTAGGGTTGACTTTTTCCAAGTTTACCCTATTTTCTCCATTTTTCTTCACTTTTCACCTACTTTTCATCCATTTTCCAGATGGCAGATGAGATTCCATATGACGGGGCCCCTCTAGAGATTCCCTCTCGTATTTTCACCTGTTGCTGAGGCAGAGGAGTCGGTCGTTGCCGAGACTGGCAAGGTAGCTGAGGGCATTGAAGCTGACCTCAAGGCGGAGTTTGAGCCTAAGCTTGAGCCGGAGCCACTACCATTAAGGGTATAGCCTTTTACTCCAGCAAGATATCATCCTCATACGCATATCTTACCGTCCGAAGGCATTAGGCAGTTCAACGACTTTGTTCGCGGTGTACCAGAAGACCTCCTATTGAGGGAGTCGGCCTCCCACTTTTCATCCAACGCCACTGAGGTATAAATTTTGTTTTCATGTATTTACACCTGTCTTTTAACTCCATTTCTTGCACTGCCTTTCATCTAACTATAATTTCATCACTGCCTTATCTGATTCATTTGTTCTTTGCCACAGGAAGAGTCTCGTACCTATAGGGGGTATGGAGCTACGATTGCGAGAGATTAGTATGATGAGCTCCCTGTAGGAGTCCGTGATATTGTTGACGAGACCAGCTTCAGCCTTTTCTGCTCCGGAATGACATGGGTCATTGCGAGCCTCCCTCTTCTAGGCACGCTTATGGATAGGTAGTG